GGCTAGTGCGGATGGTTGCCAGTATATGGTCCGGAGGAATCACAGGAGTAGGGGTTATCTCCTCTCTGGATGGAGGGGAGAACTGTCGAGACAAGGCATCAGCCCGAATGTTTTTAGTACCGGCAAGTAAGAAACCACATAGTTGAATCTTGATAGGAAAAGAGCCCATCTAGCTTGCCGGGGGGAAAGCCGCTTAGCCTCGGAAAGATATGTAAGATTCTTGTGGTCTGTGAGGATGAGGATTGGCACTGAAGTACCTTCAAGAAGGTGCCTCCATTCTTTGAGAGCTAAAATTATGGCTAGAAGTTCTCTATCACCAATCTGGTAATTGCATTCCGCCGGGTTCAATTTCCTCGAGAAATACCCGCATGGATGCCTGGAGCTCTCAGGGTTAGGACGTTGAGACAGGAGGGCGCCTACTCCTGTCTCAGACGCATCGACTTCCAGAATGAATGGTAAGGCAGGGTTAGGGTGTGCCAGTATAGGAGCAGCAGCAAAGGCGACTTTGAGAGACTCAAAGGCAGTAATGGCTTCCTGTGACCAATGCTGTGGATCAGCATCTCTCCTGGTCATGTCCGTGAGAGGTTTAACCAAGGAAGAAAAGTTGCATATGAACTTCCGATAATAATTGGCGAAGCCCAGAAAACGTTGTATAGAGCGAAGACCCGTAGGTCGAGGCCATTTTAGTACAGCCGAAAGTTTCTCTGGATCCATAGAGAATCCAGCATCTGAGATAACATATCCCAAGAATGTGACCTGTTTGCAGTTAAACTCACATTTCTCCAATTTGCAGAACAGATTATTTTCTCTAAGTCTCTGTAGAACACGAGAAACGTCTGCGTGATGGTTCTCGAGAGATGTGGAATGGATAAGAATATCATCAAGATAAACCACCACACATTGCTGCAGCATATCTCGCAGGACGTCGTTTATAAATTCTTGGAAAACCGCCGGAGCATTGCAAAGACCAAAGGGCATTACTAGGTATTCGTAATGGCCGCTCCTGGTGTTAAATGCGTTTTTCCATTCGTGGTCCTTTTTTATCCGGACGAGATTATATGCCCCTCTCAGATCAAGTTTAGTGAAGACCGTTGCTCCCTTGAGGCGGTCAAATAACTCCGTGATCAATGGAATGGGGTAGGCATTCTTAATAGTAATGCGATTGAGACCCCTATAGTCGATACAGGGTCTCAACTCGCCATCTTTTTTTTTCACAAAGAAAAAGCCGGCCCCGGCAGGAGAAGATGACTTCCGAATAAATCCCTTAGCAAGTGCATCGGTAACATACTCCTCCATGGCTCGATTCTCTGCTACAGACAGTGGATAAATCCGGCCACGGGGAGGAATGGCACCAGGTTGGAGTTCGATACCACAGTCATACGGACGGTGCGGTGGCAGAACGCTGGCTTGACCTTTATCAAATACATCTTGGAATTCTTGGTACTCAGCGGGTAAGGAAGAGGCAGAACATGTGCCCAAAACTTTGACCGGTTTCTGGAGACAGGAAAATGTGCATTGCTGGGACCATGATAATATCTCAGCTTTGCGCCAATCAATTATGGGGTTATGCTTCTGTAACCAAGGGTATCCCAAAACAACCTGGTAATATGGAGAGGAAATGACCTGGAATTGGATCGTCTCATGATGTAGAGCCCCTACAGCCAGAGATATGGGCACGGTTTCTTGGGTCACGTGGGTTGGCTGTATTGGTCTGCCATCGATGGCTTCGAAGGCTAGTGGAAAGTCGCGAGGCTGTAAGGGTATAGAGTGCTTTGATGCAAATGCACAATCTATAAACAAGCCTGCGGCCCCAGAATCAAGAAATGCCCGGTTTTAATGGATGAATCAGGCCAGGAGAGGATAATAGGCACCAAGGGTTTGCCCACATATATCTTTGGGTCTGCAGAAAGACCACCTAAGATCTGCCCCTGACAGTATCTTGGGTGCGGCCCTTTGCCGGACGAATCGGGCAAAACTTTAACATGTGACCGTGGTGTCCGCAGTATAGGCACAGGCCCTCCCTCCTCCTAAAGGCTCTCTCCTCAACCGAGAGGCGTGAGAAGCCTAACCGCCTTGGCTCCACACAGACAGAGGACTCAGGACCAGGAGGCATGGGAGGTGAGGGAGGTTTGGGTGGGCAAGAAAAGCTCGGTGCCAAATATACAGGAGGCCTCCGCAGGCGCTCCCTGGATGAGGATCTCTCTCGGAGTCTGATGTCAATGAGGGTGACAACTGATATCAGTTCCTCGAGATCTTTAGGTAATTCTCTGGCTGCAATCTCATTTTTAAACACATCGGAGAGGCCCTGTGCAAAGGCAGCCACGAGAGTCTCGTTGTTCCAGCCACCCTCTGCTGCCATGGTACGGAATTCACTGGCATACTCGACAATAGTTTTTGTGCCCTGAGCATTAGACATGAGTAGTTCGGCAGTAGGGGTGGAGCGAGCTGGAATATCAAAAACCCTTTTAAAGGACGCAACAAATTCAGGGTAATTGTAAATAATAGGCTTCTCTGCCTCCCAGAGAGGTTTTGCCCAAGCTAGGGCCTTTTCAGACAGCAAAGAAATCATGAAGTGAACTTTGTCACTGTCTGTAGGAAATGCCTGGGGCAGGATTTCAAGGTATCCTTTAACCTGATTTATAAATTCTTTGCACTGAGCTGGGTTGCCCCCAAAACACTGAGGGAGCGGGACAGACCCAGTCATTCCTCTAGCCGCTACAGGTTTGGGGGCTACAACCGGTGCTAGAACAGGAAGTGAGGCAGAGACGGCCGCAATCTCAGGCTGGCCGGGTACTGGATCCAGATGGGCATACTGGTCCAAATAGTGGTTCTGCTGGTCCCACCGGGTAAGTAGGTTAGGTATAGGTGTCTTGCCTGTACCATCTGTATTCATGGCCCTTGCGTAATGTCAGGGACCAGGAACCAGACAGAGACAGAACTAGATGCAAACACACCTTTATTAATAAATAACAAATAAATAACAAAAGCAAAGTCCAGGAATCAAGCAGGGGTCAGTCACCAGAGCGGGTAGTCAGACAAGCCAGGATCAGGAGCACGGAGAGCAGCGGAGTCAGGAACAAGGCCGGAGTCAGGAACCAGGAGCAAACAGGAAACACAGGAACAAGGAGACTTCTGGGGAACAGGAAACCACGCAAGGGCAAGGAGGTTCTGGGATTTGCTGCTTAAATAGGCAGCACTGATTAGCAGCAGGGTTGATTACTACTCTCAGGTGAGTAACCGTGGCAACATGCAAAAGGAGCTGATAGTAATTGCAGCTGAAAACTCTTTCACTGACACAGAAAGGGTTGCTGTTTAAAACAGCAAAGAAACCCTGACACTATGTTTGTATACTTTTTATTTTAAATTGTATACAGTGTAACATTCTTCATTCTTCCACAGGTTAAGTATATTAGTTCTTAGGCAATTCTGTGCTTCGGAACTTCGGCAACTTCGGCAACTTTGGAAATTCGGCACTTCAGCACTTCGAAACTTCGGCACTTCGGAAATTCAGTAATTTCGGAACTTCGGGACTTCGACCATTCGGCAATTCGACAATTCGGCTATTGATCTATTTGGACATTCGGAAGTACCCGAATGTCGGAATTTCCCGAAATTCGTCCGAATTCACATTTGGACCGAAACAAATTGCACATGTCTAGTTTGAAGCAGTTACTAGAACATTTCCAAGCTTGTTGTACTTGTTCCTTGTTTTCTGCACCATTTCAAATACAAAAAGGCTTTTAAATAATATATATAAACACTAATATAACTGAACTGGTGTTTCTGATCCTTTCGTGACACTGACAAATACCCAAACGCCTTGCAATATGTTTCATTAACACCTATCGAACAATTGTCTTCGGAACAATAACAAGACAATTAGGCAATACTATTTTGGCAGAAGAAAACATCTAATTTAGAATAAGGTTTGATTGCTGGGTTATCTCCATGTATTGATGTATTTGTGTCAAACAAGGACACATCTTCCTCTGAGTCAATAGCAATTAACTAGTTCTATCTGTCTTTTTATTAACAGTTTGTGATAAGGTGTTATTAGAATAAATGAGTAAATGGTAATACATTAAAATAAGCTGCCTCTTCCATTTCCATCCTACAGTATAAATTCTGAGAAGATTGGTGATAACCTTTAATTGTTCAGTTTTACCTTCCTATATTAATGCATCACTTTGACCGATGATTGATCCACTTTTGGATGATTATGACCTTTAATTCCCCATCTTCGCCTTTATCACTTCGACCCATCATTCTCACTAGATGTCCGATCTGGAACAGTTGGGAGGGATGGGGCAGTGCAGACACATCAATCAGCAGAAAAAACACATCTGCAGTGTGTTGTAGTTCATAAATAATTATGTCTGGAAGCAAGAAACTGTCTTATACTTAATTATCATACACAATTATTAAATAAAGTAAAATATTATTGAAGGGCATATTCATGGAATAGAAGTCAATCATAACAGTATAAGGTTCATGTCACAAACCTGGTTTCAGAAGATGCCTTATTGGAGCACCCTTGTCCTAGCTGGTTTTTGTAAGGGTGTTGCCCCCCCACCCCCAGAAAAAAAAGGAGTGATGCCTCCATCCAAGTGCTCTGAAACTTTGCTTGATATCATATGTGAGATGGTATTGATGGTATATTATCAGTTCAATAGGTTATATGTCCAGGAGTTGTCATCCAGCTGTTGGCTTTCTATAGCAGAAGGCTGTCAACTGAACTTCAACACAAAGAAGATCATATAGCTTTTACGTTGCCATGGGAACAGGGCCATCAGCTAGTCCTGTGTTTGTCGGTCACATTTTATATTGACTCAGTTTTTTTTACTTGTACCAATTTCACCCACGTACAGCACAGCACAGCATAATGTATAAATAAAGTAATAATAAATAAAGTATAATAATAAAGAAACAATTGTTATGTCCATAAACACTGCTCTCTACAGCAATGCCCTGTAGAAAAGAAAGTAAGACTATTGATACGTTTAGTCACTTTCTGGTTTAGGTATACACTGCTGGTGCTTACTTTCTGGTTTAGGTATACACTGCTGGTTCTCACTTTCTGATTTAGGTATACACTGCTGGTGCTCACTTTCTGATTTAGGTATACACTGCTGGTTCTCACTTTCTGGTTTAGGTATAGACTGCTGGTTCTCACTTTCAGGTTTAAGTATACACTGCTGGTGCTCACTTTCTGGTTTACATATACACTGTTGGTTCTCACTTTCTGGTTTAAGTATACTCTGCTGGTTCTCACTTTCTGGTTTAAGTATACACTGATGGTGCACACTTTCTGGTTTAGGTATACACTGTTGGTTCTCACTTTCTGGTTTAAGTATACACTGCTGGTTCTCACTTTCTGGTTTAGGTATACACTGATGGTGCACACTTTCAGGTTTAAGTATACACTGTTGGTTCTCTCTTTCTGGTTTAAGTATACACTGCTGGTTTTCACTTTCTGGTTTAAGTATACACTGATGGTGCACACTTTCTGGTTTAGGTATACACTGCTGGTGCTCACTTTCTGGTTTAAGTATACACTGATGGTGCACACTTTCTTGTTTAGGTATACACTGCTAGTGCTCACTTTCAGGTTTAAGTATACACTGCTGGTTCTCACTTTCTGGTTTAAGTATACACTGCTGGTTCTCACTTTCTGGTTTAGGTATACACTGCTAGTGCTCACTTTCACCGAACACCGCTGAGACTACCGACCGCCCTTCTCATTCGTCAAGGCATGCGAACACCGGTCCGTTCGGGAGTTTGGATCATACGAATGGACTTAACCCAGATAGCCATCCCATGGAGTTAATCGCATACCGAAAGACCTGTAAAAGACTTTGACTCCATGGCGATTGAACTGTGCGTATAGGATCTGAGCGCTATTCGGTAGGAATATGCACTCAGATCCAGGCTATCTGGGGATACGTTGCACAAATGTAATATGTTCGGTATTTGTACAGTTACTTATTTTGATGTGTTTTTAATATGTCATTTAAAATGGCGATTTGCCTCTGTCCTGGGAGATAATTGAATTACTTCTCAATTATCTCCAGGGCAGAGCGCAGGATGCCAGAATGCATTGTGGGAATATTCTGTGACTATGTCTTAAACTGATACATGTCTGTCCGTGGTTACAGTCTCCCATTTGGTCCCCTAGGGGAGTGTCCACCAAGTGGGAGACCTGCATAAATACAGGCGGGAAGCCCACAGTAAAGCCAGTTCATGTTTTACCCTCAATGCGGAGCTTGGTCTCGTTATTGGGGGGATTTACTACACACGGTTAGCGACTGATTGCTGGAAACGTAAGCCGCTTGGAGGATATATTTGTTCGGCTGTTAGCCGCGATTCGTGGATTTATTGTTCGGGAGTTTGGGAGATTGGCACATTCCCCTGGCTGCAGTTCGTGCGGTTGAGGTATATACAAATTGAGCCTGCATTACTGAGGAGGGGGAAGCTTAACTAAACGGCGGTTTCACTTCTCTGTGCCAGGAGTGTCTTAACAAGTATACACTGCTGGTGCTCACTTTCTGGTTTAGGTATACACTGCTGGTTCTCACTTTCTGGTTTAGGTATACACTGCTGGTGCTCACTTTCTGGTTTAGGTATACACTGCTGGTTCTCACTTTCTGGTTTAGGTATACACTGCTGGTGCTCACTTTCTGGTTTAGGTATACACTGCTGGTGCTCACTTTCTGGTTTAGGTATACACTGCTGGTTCTCACTTTCTGGTTTAGGTATACACTGCTCGTTCTCACTTTCTGGTTTAGGTATACACTGCTGGTTCTCACTTTCTGGTTTAGGTATATACTGCTGGTGCTCACTTTCTGGTTTAGGTATATACTGCTGGTGCTCACTTTCTGGTTTAGGTATACACTGCTGGTGCTCACTTTCTGGTTTAGGTATACACTGCTGGTGCTCACTTTATGGTTTAGGTATACACTGCTGGTTCTCACTTTATGGTTTAGGTATACACTGCTGGTTCTCACTTTCTGGTTTAGGTATACACTGCTGGTGCTCACTTTCTGGTTTAAGTATACACTGCTGGTGCTCACTTTCTGGTTTAGGTATACACTGCTGGTTCTCACTTTCTGGTTTAAGTATAGACTGCTGGTTCTGCTAAGCCTTGGGATTTGCTGCATAATTCAGCCTAGAATGTGAATGTCCCTTTGCAGGACATATTAGTTCACTTGATATTTATAGAGCACATTCTATAACTGAAAATTAAAGGTATATTGAACAACTAATGTAATAAATACCAACTTTCAGCTACAAGATATCAGCTTCATGTGGTTCTCAGCTGCATAGTGAAGGTATGTATTTCACCACAGCCCTCCTGCTGAAACTTTATGGATTCCATTCTATGATACGAGAGGGATTCATTGTCTGGTGACTGTGGTCTCAAGTGAGGATAAAAGAAAACCACTGATTTGATCTGCCCACAATAATAGTGAATAACGACATCACATGTGATATTTTTTATTACATCTGTCAATGAGAAAGCAAAGGTAGAAAATCCCCTCGCCCATGCGAACCTAGAGGAACAAAGATAAGGGAGATCAGAGATCAGGGAGAGGATGAGAGTACTACTGCCAGGAGTCATCCTACTGACGCCCAATAGTGCTCCTAATAAAGTCTTTATATTGTTTAATGATTCAAGGCTTTCACAAGTTGGCAGATGATTTTCCAAACATTCGTAGCGTGAGGCATTATTGATCTGAGTATTTGAATATGAAAATTCTGTGTGCGGTGTATGTGCCATTCTGTGAAGCCAGTGGATTACCATGGATGGAGACTACAGCAAAAAATAAATTAAAATCTAATCACAAATGTTATTTATTTAATGTGAATACTCCTGGAAGGCTGCTCTTTCCTAACATTTTATATCTCTCTCCTTTACTATTTGGAAGTTCTAAATTAATAATATATGGCTTCTAATAGTAGTGTGATTATTATCTGAAAAATGTAAAGTGCCCTGATAGATATGTGTATATATATATATAATGTCTGTATGTCTGCCATTATTAACGGATATATCGTAGCAGGTTCAGATGAGAGAGAGGATAAGGGAGGAAAAACTACTAATAGATTGGTATAACAACACAGGTGGTTATAGTTGTAGTGGGTCTCTGAAGGATTACTCCAAGTACCATGACCACTTCAGTGATTTGAACCGCTGCCCTTTGAAACAATGTACATTCAAAGATTAACCCATAGCTACCAAAGGTGTCACTCAACCTCCAGTGGCTGCCTCAACAAAGTTCCAGTTTGGCTAATGTCAATTCTGTGCAAAACTGGTGTCTGAGGCCAGCACGCACAGCATGCTGGTGCCAGACAGCCAAAGGTGGTCCAGCCTCAATCTCCATGCAGTCCATGTTCTATATCCTCCTGGACATCCCTTTCCCTCCAGCTAGATGGAGTGATGGTCAGCGATAGGCTTGAGCTGAGCGGACCAGTTTGAAATCCGTGAATTTAAACGACCAGGCACCAACACAGCTTTATGCATTTTATAGCATTTAGTATCTAAACAAAATGCAATGTTTATTGTTGTTCAAGTATAAGTAGTTTTTTTAAAAGAAATATATATTTTGCAGATTTAAAAAAATTATATATTTGAAATATAATATATAGATATATAGAAGGACAAAGGGTATATAGTGGTACAATCTCAAATGTGACAAATGAATTTATCTGCTACTATGTATTTACTAACTGTGTTGTACATCAATGGTGCTGAAAAAAACTTCTAGCAAAATTGGAATATATATATTTTTAGCAGCAGAATCTAGTAATGTTAAATATTTATATTATTTGCAAGAACAATAAATCCGTGCTTCCAATAAAACACATACTAAAAAAATATTTTTTTCCAATTATTTATCTATCAAGAATCCATTCTCAATAAACATTCTGCCACAAAAATATGAGATAAATAACCTGATTCTATAACAGACATGGGATATACATGTAGATGACAGCAGGCTGGTGGTTGTGCAAGACTGCTCCGACTGTATATCTGGTGGAAATAAACTCTTTGCATATTTAACATATTGAGAAGTCCCGATGTAGACACTCGTTCTTACTCTTGCAGTTGCCAAATATAAATCATGCTTTTTCTCTACATCAGCTTCATCACTTCCCTTTTCATCTCCATATATTCCCTTTAATCGTTCTTTTGTTTCCACATCACCATGTCTCAGTTCAGGCTATCTGTGATTTCACTCTTCTCACTGATAAATACAAACTGTACGATCCGTTATTTTTGCTTGGTGCTGCTATCCCTTCAATATCCTTAAAATCTACCTTTTCATCTACACAAGGCTTGATTAATGCAGCCCTCTCCTTGGCTTTCTGTAGCAATTTATCTTTCAACTTCAAAACATTTTAAATCCAACTGCCCGTATCTTCCACCAAATTCTATAGTCAGCCCTCACACCATCAACCTTCCCTATTTTAAAAATATCGTAAGACAGAAATAATACAATTTCCCTGTTTTGGAGACGTTAATATCCTGCTCTGGAATTCACTTCACTCGTGCATTTAAGTGTGTGTCGTGTTGCTTTTTAAAAACAGATCTTTTACAAATAAAATAGTAATATCCAATGCTTGTCAACTCTATGGATATTGCTTGTTATAGACATGAACTTTAATGCTTTCTTTAAAAAGGGCCTTTAGAAAAGAGCAATATGAGGGCATTGACAATACTCAAGACTTTTCTTTACCTGATTTTATTTACGAATTACAATACGAACGCATTGCCTGTGTTGTCACCCTATATCCAGGTATTTAAAGGGACACTATAGTCACCAGAACAACTATAGCTTAACCCCTTAAGGACAGAGCTTCAAAAGCTTGTCTTTCACTTAATGACAACAGCATTTTTTTCATTTTTTGCTGTTTGCGTTCAACTGCAATTTGCATTTTACTAATTTGTTGCACCAACACATATTATACATTGATTTTTAAAGGACAGAAAGGGCTTTAATTTGATGTAACACACATATATATAAATGCTTATTTATTATAAAAAAATACAGAAAAATGTAAAAAAAATGAAAATTTTGTGTTTTTTTTACAGTTTTTGCAATAATAATGTGTGCATAATTAGTGCAGGTTAAGAAAAGTAATTAAAAATAAATTAATTTAGTTGTTCTGATTTACAGAATATACAATGTGTCTGGGATTTAAAGTTTTTTTTGGTAGTTACAGGTCACAAAGCACAAGGAGTAAAATAGACTTTTAATGTGGAGCGATTTTAGAATTTGGTATGTTTGTCTTGTAAGCCTAATAGCCATAAAAGAAAACAAAATTGCCACACAAAAGTATATATTTATATAAAGTAGACATCACGGGCTATTTACCTAAGGTTGTTTTGACACTTTCTACGTAGCCATTTCACCGCCAAAATATTGGAGTAAAATTTTGTTTTTTTTGGTTTTTGGCACGCAAACTTATAACAAAGAAATTCTCGTGTATATTTTGTAAAGTTGGTGTGTGCTATTCCTGTACAAAGTTTTATTTTGTGTTCAGTTACATCTGCTGAGTAAAACGACACCCCCATTGTATGTCTTTGCCACTATTTTGTGAAGTTACAGTGCCACACAGGATACCTGTCCTTTTCAGTATTCACAGTAGAATTTTGAGAGATGGATTTAATGAGCCTTAGCTTCCATTTGGGGTATTATGACAGTTTGACTGTTCAAAAAAACCCCACAAAGGCCTACCATTTGTAAAAGTAGACACTCCAGGGTATCTCATAAGGTGCATATTGTGCCTTAACATGCCCCCATTTTTTCACCAATATATGCCAAAGTATGTGGTAAAAAATAATTTTGTGCATTTTTTACATACGGATTGCATTTTTGCTGGGCGTTTTGTATATTTCATATGTGCCACTAAGTTCAAACCCCCCAAATTATGCTCAGCTAAGTCTTCTGAGTAAAATGACACCCCATATGAATGTCTTTGGCACTATTTCGTGAAGCTACAGTGCCATATAGGAGACCTGTCCTTTACAGTATTCACAGTAGAATTTTGAGAGATGGATTTAATGAGCCTTAGCTTCCATTTGGGGTATTATAACAGTTTGACTGTTCAAAAAACCCCCACAAAGGCCTACCATTTGTAAAAGTAGACACTCCAGGGTATCTCATAAGGTGCATATTGTGCCTTAACATACCCCCATTTTTTCACCAATATATGCCAAAGTATGTGGTAAAAAAATTATTTTGTGCATTTTTTACATACGGATTGCATTTTTGCTGGGCGTTTTGTATATTTCATATGTGCCACTAAGTTCAAACCTCCCAAATTATGCTCAGCTAAGTCTTCTGAGTAAAAAGACACCCCCAATGAATGTCTTTGGCACTATTTCGTGAAGCTACAGTGCCATATAGGAGACCAAGCCATATCCGTTTTTACCAAACTTTGAATTTTGACGCAGGGCCTATGTGCAATTTCCAAGCATCTTCGCAGGTTTTAAATTCAAACTACCCCACAAAGGCCTACCATTTCTTAAAGTAGACACCCCAGGATGTTCCAAAAGGTATATTTTGAACCTTAGCGTGGGATCATTTTTCCGCTAGCTTGTACCAGATGTAGTGGTAATAAGCGTTTTTCCGGCCTTTTTGACATACAAAGTGAGTTTGCACAGTATATTTTGCAAACCTTATGTGTGCTACGACTGTATAATACTTCATATGTTGCTCAGCTATGTCGGCTGAGTACAGAAATACCCCTGTATGTACCTTTGCCAGGTATGTGTGGACATCGGAGGGGCACATTTGGGACACAGCCATTCCAGTTTTTTTCAAACTTTAAATTTTTATGCTGTGCCTATGTCCCATTTTAGAGTATTTTACCAGGCTATATAATCCAAATACCCCATAAAGCCATACCATTTCTTAAAGAAGACATCCCAGGGTATTTCAAAAGGCATATTTTGAACCTTAGCGTGGGATCATTTTTCCGCTAGCTTGTACCAAGTGTAGTAGTAATAAGCATTTTTTCTGCCTTTTTGACATACAAAGTGAGTTTGCGCAGCATATTTTGCAAACCTTCTGTGTGCTATGACTGTATAATACTTCATATGTTGCTCAGCTATGTCGGCTGAGTACAGCAATACCCCTGTATGTACCTTTGCCAGGTATGTGTGGATGTTGAAGGGGCGCATTTGAGACGCAGCCATTCAGTTTTTTTCAAACTTTGAAGTTTTACGCTGTGTCCATGTTCCAATTTGGAGTAGTTTAGACGGTTGGTTATTGAAACTTCCCCACAAACACATACTATTTATTAAAGAATACACCCTGGGGTAATTCAAAAGGCATATTTTGAACCTTGGCGTGGGATAATTTTTTCTCTAGTTTGTTCCAGGTGTAGTGGTAATGAGCGTTTTTAAAATGTATTTTTTTACTTTTTATAACTTTTTTACTTTTAAAAACTAGTTTTTAAACTTTTGTTTTGCTTATAAATTTTTTTTAAACTTTCCTAAACTTTCTTAAAACTTTTTTACAGATTTAACATTTTTCTAAGCTTTTTTTTTTTACCGTTAACCCCTAACTAGCAGTACGCAGCACCAACAGTAAATTCCCCATTTTCCCATAACTCCCACCCACCCCAGCTAGCAAAATACATAGTTATAAAATATTTTAATTAATTAATTAAATAAATTGAACCCCTGAGGGTTAAAAAATAAATAAAAAGTTAATCCTCAGGGGTTAAAAAAAATTAGATCACAGTATAATACTGTGATCTCTATTTGAT